CTTGTCCTGCGAAATGTTTCTTATTTCTTAGTGTCTTTTCATGTTTGTTGAGAGAAGGTGGTTCTGCCTGTGCTTGATGGAGTCTAGGTTCCGTATGTGCTCCTGCGTCTCAAAGAGACGTTTTAATTGCTTCTCGACTTGATACTAGGACGTCGACCTTTTCGCTTTCTCAGTAAATCTCTTTCAAAACAAAATAAACCTTTTGTCGCCTAGCTAAAAACTTAGGTTGTAATTGGAAGGGAAAAAAAGAGGAGTTGGAGCTAGATTTCCTTCTGGCCGTGATAGAAAGTAGAAAGGTAAGAGCTACCGTTTCTGGCTGCTGCGAGTGATGGGCGACCATTTTTAGTTGTACTCAGGTAGTTCCCTCCACCCCCAACTGTTTTCTTAAGTTAAATGCATTATTCTCTCTCTCCGACTTTCTGCCATCCCGCTTCTTGATGTCTGGGAGAGTATCTGGTGGATGTTAGAATTTTTTTTTTAAGTGAAATACACTGATGAAAACGCTCAAGGTGTTTGACATTCTCTGTCAGCATTATAGCTAGAGTGCACAGTCCTGAAGAGTTGGATCTCTGAGCCACATAGTGGTTTTTGAAGAAGTAGTAATACAGGGAGGCAGTCAACATTAAAGTGGTTGAGGACATTTGAGATCTAATCCATTAACCAGCCACGGGGTTACACTGGGGGATGTTCTTTGCTAAACCAGTTTCCTCACCTGCTTCTTCCTAGGATTAAACCAAACGACGGAAATGCTCAGTAGATATAAATCTCCACTCTACGATTTTTCTTGAAGGCCCCCTTTCTCTTCAGCTTGTTTCCAGCCTGTCATAAGTGACGTTTTCTCCCTCCATTTCTAAAGGCTGCTCACAGCATCTCACTATCAGATCACTTTTTAACTCTGCTCATTCATGCCTAGCTTAAAGATTCACTTCTTCAGGAAGATATTTTAGCTTAAAGTCTGTGAATTTAAATAAATGCTTTCACTAGTTTTGTGTTATATTTTCTATCGTGGCTTCAGTACCTAGTGGACAGGCATATTTACAAGTTTCTTTTTACAGTAACCCTTTGTGGGCATCTAAAAATGGTCATTATTTCTGAGTACTAGCTTGTTTTTCCAAGCACTGTAGGTTTGTGTCTGATTTTTAAAACCTTAAAGCAATATTATGTAACCCCCCCAAACCCCTCAATTTGGTCTCCCATCAGGTTTTTTTAAAAAATGCACCATGTAGAACCTATAGTCATTTTCCCACTAGAATTTAAATTTTGAAGTAGCTTTTTGAATAGTTGATGTGTATGAAATTTCAAATGAAGAAAGTTTGTTTGATTTCTCATCCTACTTGAACTATCAGTGACTATTGTGAGTATCTGGGCTTTCTCTTCCCAGATAGAAAATCACTCTGAAGTTCTGGCTTTGCATCATGAAGATCATTTTCGTGAAGGGCACAATAGTTGGCATTCACAAATGAGCCAATGCAGAGGGAAAACTGCAAGCTGGCACACTGGCCTTCTTCTCAACCTTCTGTTAACCCAACAAGCTCCCACAGGTTGTTCCTGAAACTGCAAGATGATTACATAGCAGTACTGAATTTGCAACTAAATTTTGATTTCAAACCATTATTAGCCAAAGAGTTGATTCCACACCTATGTTCATGGATTTTTCTGGCATTAAATATAGGTGTTTAACTGTCACTATGTTTTCCATCTGTGATCTAGGCTTTCTTGGAGAAAAAAAGTATCAGGCAGACCAGGGTCGCTTGGTTCTTACTATTTACGTGGAAATAGTTTTCATGGCTGGTAAAGTTATTTGTTTCATGTCACATTTTAAGTATGGAAACTACCAAGAACACAGTTTGAAGGCAAGTGGAGAATGAGGGGTCAACATTATTACATCTTTTGCTCTTTGGGTTGAAGCAGTGTGCAAAGATCAACTGAGATTCTTAAGCGTGGACTATGCAAATGTTTGACATTTCTCAATGACCTGTTACCAGTTCTTACAAACCCTACACTGGTCCCTGGGTTTGATAACAGCAAGTTTCCACCTACATGAGGATGCCCAAAGTGCGTTCTTTACCTTTTGAATGCTTTGTTCTTTCTCAAACCTCATTGAAAGTAGAGAGGCTCTGAAGCCCTTTTTCTCTTATATTGGGCTAAATTGGTTTGTAAGTCTCCAGGGTTTTATTTTTGTCTGCTTTTAAGTCACCCTTACCAACCCAAAACAAAATATAAAGGCAGCATTTACTCTTCCAATTAGTGCTAGGCTTTGAGATGAACACACCTTCAGTGATGTCTGGCCCCGTTCTTATATGTTGTCTTTGTAGAGGTCCTGGGATTCTTTGTCCTGGTGGTGACCTTCTTTCCTCTTGGACTCTAAACTGTCTGACAAGGTAACACTGAGTGGGAGCTCTTTTGCTTTGTTCTGAGTATGTTAAGAGGCACACGAACTACTGCTCCATTTTCTTTTCCTGTCTTCTAAGGACAGTGTTTCTGTGTTGGATGTTTCTCTGAGTTTTGTAGTACATGCTGTGGTAAACACACTTACTTGCTTGTTAGGCAAATTACCTGACCTCACTAAGCTCAGTCTCAATATCTACAAAATGGGGAGAATGATATCCACTTTATAGAGTTGGTTAATGAGGATGAAATGAGGCAACACATGTAAGAACTTAGCACAGTAGCAGACACAGTAGATAGTATATAAATGCCTTCCAGGGTATGGCATTAACCTGTTTTTAACCTTTTCAATAATTGTAAATTTTCCTTTAAGAAAACAAATTGGCATTAATCTTTACACCTATAGCTTGAGTGACAAGAAATACATATATACATTGTCCTGAGTTAGATGGTGGTGATCGAATTTGAAATAGATGATAATTTTCACTCAGCTATGAAGGTGAAACTCCTTAGATACACCACTTGACTTCTCACTTTTTTCCCAGTCAAACAAGATTATCACATGTGGTCCAACTGCTCTGCCTAGCGACCATTTTCAGTAATTATTGAAGTAGAACGACCAGAAAAACATACTTGCTACTCCACCTAATAGCACCATGGTGAATTGTAGCCTGAGCAACACATGGAAAAAGAGCAGATCTCATTATCAGATATTGTACTATAAAGGCATTTAAAGAACAGTCAGTTGATGAATGAAATGATTAGTAAGAAGCATTTATTGAGCTTTTGTTGCATTCTAGTACTATGGCTAAGGACTGCGTATGGCTCGTCTCTCTGAATGCTGTGAAGTAGGGACAGGATCCAGTTCCTATTTTGGAGATGAAGTAACTGAGGTTCAGAGAGGTTACTGACTTGCACAAGAGCACCCCGCAAGGAAGTGACAGAGCCAAGTGAAGCTTGTCTCTGACTCTGGAACTGTCTTAACAGCTCTGCTATCCTGATTTTGACCTAGTTTAAGGGACTACAGAAAGGAAATTTGGCCAAACCCAGATCACTTCTCTAATCTACCCCGACATTTTGTGTCCACCATTTGCAGCTGCAGAGTTCTGATTCTAGCAACTTGAAATTGGTCTTGGCTTCCCAGTTTTATCGAAAAAATACTATGACTTTTCCTGGAAACATGATACCCTTTACCTAAGATACCTTTTCTCCTTTTTACTTTCTTCTGTACTGGCTCCATGAGTAATTTCCTAAAACTGGCACCTTTTCAGAAATTCTCCTCAAAACTGGGGCAGAATGATAGTTATGGGTGACTGTTATTAGAGTTGGTAGGTTTGATTCTCTCAAGTCGTCTTTCTGTTGGTGCAGCACAGTGGTTGAAATCCTGGAATCTAAAGCCACAGACATGAGTGAATCCTGCCCTGCTTGCATCCTGGGGCAAGTAACTTTTTTTGAGGCTATTTTCATACTTGTAAAATACGGATAATAACCATACTTAATACTGTATAACATGTAGAACAGAGTAAGCACTTAACCATTAGGTATTCTTATTTGTTCCAGTGAATGATTATGATTTTATAGAAATTAATGTTTTTTTATTCTCTCTGCAGCTACTGAAATATTTGAAGAAACTCTCCACCTTGCCTATTACAGTAGACATTCTTGCGGTAAGAATTGTGTAATTTTAGATATTATATGATGATATCCCATCCCCTTCCCAGTGGGAGAGATTGTACAGTAGGATTAAGAGCATGGGCTTTAAAAGTGAAAAAACCAGACGCAAGGCCACATATTGTATGGTTTTAGTTATATGAAATGTCCAGAATAGGCAAATCCATAGCTAGAAAGTAGGTGAGTGATTGCCAGGGGTGGGGAGAATTGGGAGAAACAGGGTTTCTTTCTAGTGTGATGGAAATGTTCTGGAAATAGTGATGATTGTGTAGTATTGTGAATATTCTGGAAACCAATGAACTGTACCCTTTAAAATGGTTAAAATGGTCAAATTTACCTCAAATTTTTTTCTAAAAATTAAAAGAACATTGGCTTTGGCATTTAGTTCTAGATTCAAATCCAAGTTCTGTGACTTTAGGGTGTTCCTTCTTTGTAAAATGGAGCCAATTCCTGCCTCATAGAGTTGTTATAAGGATTGATTCAAATACTGTATGCAGTGTTAAAGTTCTGTAAGTATTTTAATTTAGTGTTTTCTTTTTCTGAGTCTGGCATATTTTGCTACTGTGTGTCATTAGAGGTTTGGGGCATTGACACAGTAATTTTGTATTGAGACTTGACAGGTATGTTTTTAGAAGGAAGTATTGGTTTGTTGAGAGCAGGAGGCCTTATTTCTTTACAAAATTGTGAGCCTAGTTCCACAACTCTCTAACGATTCCTTTTGTCAACTTTGTAGGAGACCGGTGTTGGAAAAACAGTAAATAGCTTGCGAAAGCACGAGCATGTTGGAAGCTTTGCCAGGGACCTAGTGGCCCAGTGGAAGAAGCTAGTTCCTGTGGAACGGTAAGAAAAGTTTTTCTTTATTATTCCTTCTGTGTCTTACTTAAAACATTTATTCTGCCTCAGTTATAAAAATAATTCATGATCATTATGGAATATTATAGAAAACAGTTAAAAAATAGAAATAAGGATAAAATTTCTTACAATTCCATCCAAGAGAAGTATTACTGACATTTTGGAATGTTTCTTTGTAACCTGTTCTTAAAAGGCATTTTTATATAATTGTGAACTAATAAAAATTACAGCCCCTTCTTATGTAACAAATTAAATATTTCCCTATGTTCAAAGGCTTAAGCATTTTCATATCCACAAGATATTTGATCTTTGTATCCTGTAGTTAAACTTGTCATTTTCCATTCACTAAATATTTGAGTTTTCCCGATTTTAAAATTTAGTTGAGTATCTTTGAACAGAATCCATTTAATCTTGTCCCAAGACCTCGTTTGTAACTCTGTGAACTCTTCATCTCTTTTGTGAGTTCAGGTTCTGTGACTCTGTCCTCTGAACAAGGATTACCCTGAGATTTATATCTGCTTTTTCTTTTATTTTAGAAATACTGAGCCTGATGAACAAGATTTTGAGAAGAGCAATTCTCGAAAGCGCCCAAGAGATGGCCTTCAGAAGGAGGAGGAGGTAGAGGGGGACTATGCAGAAAGCTGGAAGGCCTCCGGCAGCCGGTCGTATAGTCCCGATCAGAGACAGAGAAAACACAGAAAACTCTCAGAGCTCGAGCGGCCTCACAAAGTATCTCACAGTCACGAGAGGAGAGACGACAGAAAGAGGTGCCACAGAGCTTCTCCAGTTTACTCTTCGGACCACGAATCTTCTGATTATGGCCACGTTCAGTCCCCTCCGTCATCCACTAGTCCTCATCAGATGTCTGTGGACCATTACAGATCCCTGGAGGAGGACCACCAGCCCTTTGTTCCACACCAGAAGCCTGGCAAAGGCCACAGCAATGCCTTTCAGGACAGACTGGGGGTCAGTCAAGAACGACTGACCCCCAGTGAACCCCAGGGGAGAGAGGTCGTGAGTCAGAGCAAGGAGCACAGATCTTCCCATAGAGAAAAACGTCCAGTGGATGCCAAAGAAGATGAGAAGTCTTCTTTGAGCAGAGAAAAATCACACAAAGCCACCTCCAAAGAGGAAAACCGGAGGCCACCCTCAGGGGACACAAAGGAGAAACCACCCTCCAGTGGTGTCAAGAAAGAGAAGGAAAAAGAGGGCAGCACAAGGAAGAAGGTTTTGCCCCCCTTGGAGGTGGCTTCAGACAACCACCTTAAAAAGCCAAAATATAGAGACCCAGAGAAAACCAAATCAGACAAAAACAAGCAAAGTCTGGAAAGCTTAGACATAGGCAAGGGGGCAGGAGACCCATTGCCCAAGGTGAAAGAGAAGGTTTCTAACAACCTAAAGACTCAAGAAGGGAAAGGAAAACCTTCTCTATCGGATAGAAAGTCAGCAGGCTCCTTCCCTAAAAATGAGGAGGCAGATATGGATGATGAATTTGAGCAGCCCACCATGTCTTTTGAGTCATACCTCAGCTATGACCAGCCCCGGAAGAAAAAGAAGAAGATTGTGAAAACTTCAGCCACAACTCTTGGAGAAAAAGGACTTAAAAAAAATGATTCGAAAAGCACTAGTAAAAACTTGGACTCAGTTCAGAAATTACCTAAGGTGAATGAAAACAAGTCAGAGAAGCTTCCGCCAGCTGGAGCCAATTCAGCCAAGCTGAGAAAGGTAACCCTTGCAGCCCCTTCCCATTCAGAGCACCTGTTCCTGCAGAACTTCCCAGGATGCCCCCACTGCTGTTTTGCTTGTCTGGCTTTTCCATGACCTGTTGAATTTCAGCTGGAAGTAATTTTCTTCAGGCCTTTCTAGCTGCCAGAGTCAGTAGTACCCAAGGCAAGTATTTTCTAAGGTGTCCCATTGTGCTGGGCCCATCTCTTATCTCCTGACGTAGGTGGTGTCAGGCATGGCTGTTGCCCCTCCTCTAGGCTGGATCTGCCTGTGAAGCCATCTGCCGTGGCAACACTGTGCTTGTAGAAAGAGGCTCTCCAGTCACTCCTCTCTTCTCTGTAGGTCCCCAGCGACGCGTTGCCAGCGTTGCCAGACCTTCCATTACCTGTGATACAGGCCAATTACCGTCCCCTTCCTTCCCTTGATTTGATGTCCTCCTTCCAACCAAAGCGGAAAGGTAATCTTCTGTATCTTTTCTTTTTAAAGGGAAAAAAATTTTTTTTTAATTCATTCATGATCTGTCACCAGATTTTGGTGCATCTCCTAAAGAGCACAGGTTCTGGAGTTGGATGGTTTTGGTTTGAATCCCAGCTCTGGCTTCTACTACAGGTTATATGAACTTGGGTAATAGCTTGATTTCCTTGGACTTCAGTCTTATATTCTGTAAATGGGAATGATAATGGTATCTGCCCATGAAGTGGATTGAAAGTGATCATGCTGGTAAAGCTCTGAGCTCTGGGTTTTTTCCACATAGTGTTCACTAAATCTTAGCTGCTATTACCATCAGCCCTTTATTCTATACGTGCTACAGGGGCTTTAAGAAAAAGTCTAGTTTTAACAGCAAAGGAATTAGAAGCTACATTGGTGCCCCTTAGCAAGAGACTAAAAGATGGATCATGGTTCATCCACACAGTGGCACCTTTGCACTGTGTTAAAAAAAAAAGGTGAGGGGGTAGGTAGAAAGTCTGTGCACCGATGTGGAATGATTTCTAAAATGTGGTAAATGACAAAATGGTACTGAGTATTTTATTAATTGGTTAAAAAGGAATAAAATAAATATTAGCTTATTTTTGCATAGACTGAAAGGAAGCACAAGGAACTGGTAGAATTGGTTGCCTTTGAGAAAGGGAACTGAGAGGCTGAGGAATGGGGTGGGAAGGAGTTTTCACTATATAGCTTAGTGCCTTTTATAACTAACATTCCTGTTTTTCTTGCCCTGCCTTACAGCACTATCCTCACCCCAGGAAGAGGAAGAAACTGGATTCACTGGACGAAGAATGAATTCTAAGATGCAGGTGTATTCTGGTTCCAAGTGTGCCTATCTCCCCAAAATGATGACCCTGCATGAGCAGTGCATCCGGATACTTAAAAACAACATCGACTGTAAGTCACTTGCTCTTGCTCATTGGGGCAGTGGGACAATGGGCGACTTGGCCACTACTCAGTACTTTTCCCGTTTGATTATCTGCAGCAATCTTTGAAGTGGGAGGCGTCCCGTATTCTGTTCTTGAACCTGTTCTGGAGAGGTGTACACCTGATCAGTTGTATCGCATAGAGGAGTACAATCACGTAGGTATCTTATTTGGATGGGAAGAGAGCAGTTTTCTGGCTTATGTCTCCAGAAACAGCTTTGTCTGTATCTGCCACAGCAATGGGCAGGCAGTGGTGGGATTACGGTTCTGGGCTTTTAAACAAGCATATTTTTAGCACCTGCTCCTGGCATCTTAAGTGGGCCTCTTGGGCTAGAATCAAGGTGAGACTGAAAGGCAGTGGGAGTGGGGACGGGGTGGGCGGGGGCATCACTTCCCATACCTCCCTGGAGCTTGCCTAGTCACAGAGGTTAAGGGATAACTCTGGCAGCACAGCCCCTGGGATCCAGGGCGGGGATGGAGCTTTGTATTGACAGTCAGTGAATACAAGAGCACAGATTGGCTAGGTGTCTTCTAGAGAAAACCAGAGCTATCCTGAAGTCCTCCTAATGCTGGAGATGCTCATTTGAATGCATTAGCTGTCTCCAATTCTGAGGGATCTATAACATGTCCGGCCATTGCTGTTCAGTGTAGTGCTGGAGAAATGCCTGGGTTTGACTTCATCCCAATTCTTCCCCTGCACTGATTTTCTAAAGGGAAAGACTATTCTTAAACTAATTTTTGTGTTGTTTTCTCTCTGAGCCCCACAACCCCCACAAAAGCAGCTAGTATATAATGCATCACACTAAATATTTTTTTTAATTCAGTGATTGTCTTTTTTCCCTACAACTGTGGTATTTTAACATAATACCACTGCTGTGCAGACCAGAAATCATTTGGAAACTGGTCACCCCTGGGTGATTAAGGATGGAAAAGACATATGTAAGAGGGCTTGCACGTAAGTGATGTTCTGGTTCTGATTTTAGGTGTTAATTGAAGAAACAGATCAATTATGGAAAGTTCATTGTCACCGAGACTTTAAGGATGAAAGGCCAGAAGAGTATGAGTCGTGGCGGGAGATGTACCTGCGGCTTCAGGATGCCCGGGAGCAGCGGCTCCGAGTCCTCACGAAGAACATCTTGCACGCACATGCCAATAAGCCCAAAGGTAGGGGGCGGGCGGGTCTGGCGGAGTAGTGAGCCCTGTGCTCTGGTAATAGCAGGGCCTTGGTGGGCTTGGCTAAGGTAGAACCTCTGGCTCCTAAATCTCTCTCTTATTTGCTGAAGAGGGCAGAGGTGGATTGTTTCTTCTGCCACCACCCATGCTCCCCTGCAGAGGGGCTGATAGTCCCCTACCTTTGGAAGCACTTGTTTTCAAGCCTTTATCTCTTAATAGCATAGATTACTAAAATAAGAGCAGCATCTCAGCTCAAGAAGGCAAATATTGATCACCATTTCCCCCCAGGCCGACAAGCAAAAATGGCCTTTGTCAACTCTGTGGCCAAGCCACCTCGTGATGTTCGAAGGAGGCAGGAGAAATTTGGAACAGGAGGAGCAGCTGTGCCTGAGAAAATCAGGTGAGAGAGCCCCAAAGCCTGTCATTCAGCCCTGAAGCAGCCCAGGGGCAGGAAGCAATTCATTTTAGGGGTGAAAGCATGGCTTCTTGAGAGTGGGTTCTGGAGGCTGACCTTGACCTCCCTGAGCCTCAGCTTCCTTGACTGCCTTTCAGCGGGGTCAAGATTAAATGGAGAACAGGGCTCGACTTCTGAGAAACATTCCCTAATACTTTCCCTTTCCCTATTTAAACAAAAGACCTATTAACTGTGGTGACTAAGTTATCTAAGTACGTTAGCATTTGCGAAATACAGATTTATACCTACACAGTGAAAAGTTAGTCGAGGTCATCATTCGTTTTGAAGGGCTACCACTGTCATTTCCAAGCCATCACCAGAATCTAGGGTGCTAGGTCCACTGGTCAAAGCCACAGAACTGAGTCCTCAGACCAGCCAGCTCAGGTTGCTGACACCGAGGGCAGATTTCTCCTGTTCTGGACTAGCAGCTGTGCTCTGTGTCCCAGGATCAAGCCAGCGCCATATCCCACGGGAAGCAGCCGTGCTTCCTTCAGCAGTGGCAGCAGCAACAGCTTTAACGCCAGCCCCGAGGAGCCAGCCTATGATGGCCCAAGCACCAGTGGCGCCCACTCGGCGCCTGTGGTCAGCAGCACTGTTTCCTATGATCCTAGGAAACCGACTGTGAAGAGTAAGTAACTTGGGGTTCCCGCTCAGATATTTCAGAGCTAGTATTTGAACCCCTACTGTCATTACTGCTGCTTCATACTTTGTGTGTTAGATGCGGCACATGTGATGCCTTGCACACAGCTGGTCTAAACGTCTGTGCCTCCTTTTCCCCACTTTGTTCATATTGCGTAGTTCAACATGTATTGTTGAAATTATGTTCATAGTGAATACTCATTTTGGTACTCTTTTTTTTTTTTAATTCTTTTTTTTAACCTGAATGTAAACCTGTTTCTCTAGGCAATAACATACAGAGTTCATAACTATTATTATTAACAGCTAAATGATCTTATTGAAGTTTTATAACCTTATAACCCCAGCTTCCCAGTATTTAATTTCCATATCTAGTTGGGTCTATTGCATATTTTACTAACTTTACTACCATAGACTATCTCCAGTCTTCTAAGGGGGTGTCCTACCGTAAGCATCATTCTGTATTTACTTCAGGGCCCACAGGAGGGCGGGAGTCCTGACCTAGGCTTTGGCTGGGCCCAGGTTAACTAGTCTGGAGGGCAGGCTAGCCCTTGGGTGGTATTTGCACTCAGCTCATCTCAGACCTGTTGCTACACTGGACAGACACGAGTAGGAGGGGGTGCTTTTTGCTGGTTTGGATATTGGTGAGGCAGAGTTAAATTACGGCTCAGAGTGGCCTTTAGAGTCTGGCAAGGATTGAATTCCAGTTCTGCCACTTACTGTACAGGGGCCAGTCTGAATCTTGGGGAGGCTGTGAGAAGTGGAGAGTGATTGTCAGTGGCCTGGCAGGTGCTGCTTTTAGGTGGTGCTGGCAGGTAGCTGCTGCTCGTATCCATTTGCCTGGCTATGTAGAGCCAAGAGTAGAAAGGCTTCGGTTTGATTGTAAACTACAGGTGCCCAAAGTGCCATGGATCCGAAACAACTGCCTTATTTCTCTTTTCACAGAAATTGCCCCAATGATGGCCAAGACGATTAAAGCTTTCAAGAACAGATTCTCCCGACGATAAACGGAGGACTTGTCTTGGAGATGAAATGTTGGGGGAGGAATACAAGGACAATGGGGGTTGGGGAATGGAACTTCTAAAGGAGACCAGACTCTTTGGCTTAGTGGAAACTTTTGGCCTCCAAGTCGTGCACAGCGAGCAGGTGCCGTGCCTGTGCCCGCAGCCACTGCCTCCCTGACTGGAGAGCACTTCAGAGTTCTGAAGATGTGAAGCCTCATTCTCACTGAGGATTTTAAGGTCAATTGTACCTTTGTTGTTAATTAGCTTCTTTGTAAACTATAAGACATAGTTTTAATTAATAAATATTGCCCCCAGATTGTATTTATATTACCCCCAGTTTTTCCCCCCCAGTCCTCTATCACACACTTAGCCTTTTATTTTTGGGGTCCTTTGTTAAAGTTAGACAAAAGCCTAGTGAAAGCCATTCCCCTGTCCCAGTTCCTCTCTCCTGAGTGGACTTTGGTCCAGAGGGAGGACTGGGCGTCCCCAGAGCCTGTGTAGTGCCTGCTGCACGTAGGGGTGGGGGTCCTGGGCTGCCTGTCCTGGGCGGGGGGAGCCTTGGCATGGAGACGGAGTGTTCAGGTTAGGCCTCCACCTCCGAGACCCTTCTCAGTGTTGTTTTGAGGTGCTATGCAGGTGCATCTCTTTCTCATTAAATTGTATTTATTAAGGGAAATTATTTGGAAAGGCCTAGAGTCTTTACCCCATCCTTTTTGCCTGGTCCCGCTTTTTTTTTTTTTTGAGGCTCACTAGAGGGCACAGAATCTCAGTGTTTTTACAATTTCCAGTTTCTAATTCAAAGCTTTAGGCTTTTTTCCTCCTCTATTTTTCCTTCTCTCCACTGGCATGGGGGCAAAACACAAACATGTGGCAGGGCTTTTTGTAGCCCTCCAAATACAACTTCACAGTTTTAAAAGCCAGCACTTTATTCTCTTGTTCCCTGTGAATTGCTACTGCAAGTGAATGGTTTTAAAAGTTGTAATGGTATGTTGGAGATTAGCTTCGTTTTTGCCTTTAAAAGATAAGATCATGAGATTGGTAGAGCACAACAGTTTGCTGTTTTATAGAGAACTTTGTAGCTTGAAACTCTGCTTTTTGAGTCTTTAAGCCAGAATTTGGAGGGAAAAACCAGCTTAAGGAAAGTGAGCTGTAGCATCAGGATGGGGGAGAACCACAAGGGCACCCAGGCTTGGGAAGGAAGGATCTCACTTTCTAGTTGGCACAGGGGCAAGACCAGAACTAGGAAGACTGTGTCAGCTCCCTTTGTGGCTGTTGAAGGGCACTGATCTAATAGACTGCTTGGTGTGACCCAGGTAGAAGTAGATACTATAGATCTGAGGTGCGCATCCCTAAGAAACCTGAGAAGCAGACTGAGGGCATGGTTAGTGTGGCAGCCCATGGAGCTTGACAATTTGTCCCTTTGATAAGCTCACTCAAAGCCCAGTGTGTGGAGCCCACTGTTTTTAACCATCCTGGAGATCTCTAACTTAGATGGCAGAGCAGTGCAGCAAGAAGTCTGTATGGCAGGAGCTGCACTGTTCAGTGTGTGTTGCTGTGCAGGGTGCCCAAGGGATGCAAGTATTGCTGTGTTTTAATTTGCTGTATTTTTGAATTGGGTAAAGTATTATTTCTCTTGATCACTTGTTTTACCATTCCACCCCTGTCCCCCAGCCTGTCCCCCAAGTCTGATGTTAGGAAGCCTCTTACTTAAAACCAGATGAGCATCTGGGTCAGCTGCCAGACATCTGTTGCCTAGAATAGCTTCCTCTAGGTGTCCACCACCTTGAATTTGTGTCTTATCTGTGTGTTTAAGTCTTTGCCATTGAAACAAGTTTTTCAGTTGTGTGTGATTTAATTTCCTTTACTAGGAGTCTTTAGGTAGGGAGGGAAGAAAAGACACATCCCAACATCACTACCCATTTTTGGTATATAAAGATTTTGGATCACCCCTGTTTGCACAGAGCCAGATCTTTCCCCTTCCCCCTCCAAGAGTGTCTGTTCTGCATCAGGGGTGTGACTTGGTGAGGAGAGTAAGGAGGGAAGAGGAGGAACTGAATTTCTAAGGGCCATCCTCTCCTGGGTTATTGAAATGGCCGCAGAGCGGACACAGGATGATGTTGAACCCTTGATCTCATTTGTGAAAACTTGTGCAATTTTTTTCCTCTGCTACACTACATACAAATCATCAAATTACAAATTAACTCTCTGATCTTTGGTGTAATGAGCAGTTTTAGGGGAAACTTTTTCTTTCCGGGAAGCAGGAGGGAAAGGAGCAAGGTACCATCTTGCTCTTTATTTGTATTTTGGTCCCAGAATGTAAATACAATTTTCTATGTTACTTTTTTGTGGTAACTACCAAGATGAATATTTTAATTAGATAAGTTATATGAAAAGGCAGGAAAATTCCATGTCTAAATAAAAACAACAACAACAAAAAACACACCCATATGCTGTTATCTTTCTTCCTTTCTCTCTTATTGTGTCAGAGCATGGAAGTTGGTCACGATGTTTAATTCCTTGGGCTGGGCCATAAGGGATGTTGGATTTCTGTCTGTACTGTAGCACAGCAGAACAGGGAAAGGGGAACTCGGAGGGAAGGAACCCAATGAGCAAAGCAAGGAAACGCAGACAAAAATGAGCACCTGGGGGGACCAAGCACTGTCCCTTGTGCACTTGTAACCCTGGGACTGAACTGTTACCCGTTTCAGTTAGAAGCTGAGGCTCAGAGAGGTGAAATAACCAAAGCTGCATAGCTAGGAAGTGGCAGAGGAAAGGATTTGAAACCCAGATTCTCTGACTGCAAAGTGTGTGCCACTCCACATTTCAGTCACTGGTGGGTGTGGAGGACCCAGTTAGGTCTCCGTCTTAACACTGGCTTCCTAATGAGAGCATGAGGGACAAGCAGGCAGCAAGGTGGTGGCAGCAGCAGCTTAGTAAGACCCTGCTGTGCTGGCCCTGGCTGAGCTGCAGGTGCTTCAGCATTCGCTAGTGGAACCAAGGTTCCGGCCCCTGAGTACCGACAGGCTGTATCTGACAGATTTCAACATCTTACGGTAACATGGTTTTACTATCCCTTCTCTCCTAAAGAGGGCATTCCTGGTGTATGATCTGTACTTATTTTTCCCAAGTCTTCACTGGATCTAATTCTCACTATGCATGGAAGTTGTTAATTATGGAACATCGTATCTGATAGGTGACTACCCAGAGTCTGCAAGTTGTCCCTTTGTCCCTTATTAATGCAACATTTGCTGAGCCAGGACCTGTAGTAGACCCTAGGATACAGAGTAACACACAATCAAGTCTGGCGCTCAGTCAGGTAAGAGTAACTGGCCTCACTGGTTACACACCTACCCTGTGCCAGGGACCACTGTCTCATAGATGAATGTTATCTCGATTATCACAATGACCCTACAAAGTAGATTGTTATAACCTGCATTTAAAAAATGAGAAATCTGAAGCACAGAGAATTTAAGAATTTTCCCCAGGCCACACAGTGAGTGAGCTGTGGTGCTGTGTGTTGGTCTGACTCCCAAGCACATGTTCTTAGTCACATTTACCATCTCATACACACACATAGCTAATGTTAGGCTTCTGGAGCAAGGTCGACCTCCAACGCATTAAGATGCCCAAGCCAAGGCCCTAATCATTTCTAAGAATGATTTCTTCTCTCCGCTGCAGGTAACTGATGGCTAGAAGAATCAGTCCTCTGCCTGGCTTATCACCTTGGCAGATGTCCCTTTCACAGGGTTTCTCCCCTAGGGCTCCACATCCATTTGAGTGTCTCCCTGATTATTTGGCTAAATGGTGAAATAGGCAGTTTGTCCACATACGCTCCTAGACTTCTCTTTCTGTGATACCTAGATTGTCTCAACTCTTTTCAGAAACTTTCAAGGAAAGGTCAAGCCATCAAAATCTTATACAGCTACACCTGTGTTTCACAAGCATAGAGTCTCTGGGGTTGAGACCCCAGAGTGTGCATGTTAAAAAAAAAATTCTCCTTACAATGTACATTAAAGTTTGAGAGCTACTCCAGAATTTTCCACAGTTTAGAAGCTCTTCACAGCAGGTCCAAAGGTCAGGGCTGGGAGGCTTGCACACTCAGTCACACAGCAAATACTCGTGTCGCCCCCACTCTGTGTCACTGAATGATGAAGACGTCGCCCCCGCTTCACGGAGCCTTCACCTAGTCGGGGGGACAGTAATCAACTAGCCAAATCATTGTTTAAAATACAGGTTTCTGGGCCCCACTGCAGAAACCTGAATAGATCAGAGGTAGGATCTGGAAATACGTACTTTTTTAAAGGCTTCCTGCAATGAGTTCGATGAGCAGCCTGGTTGCAAAATGCCCAGTGTGGTGGAAAGACAATGCATGAGCTTTGGAATGAGTCAGATCCAGGTTCAAATCCTTGCTCTACTACTCTTTAGCTTTGTGACATCTCTCTGAGCCTCAGTTTCCGCAGCTGTGAAATGGGAATAATGACAACCCACAGGAATTCTGGTAAGGATTCAGTGAGAGATTTGGGGCTCAATAAATTTTAGTGTCCTTCCTTCATTTCCTCTAAATGTAGAATGAAAAGGAAAGTTTTGTTTCCTATTGACGGGAATTAAAGCTTTAGAACGAACACAAGCTAAGAACTATTTGGAGGCCAGTGAGTCCTTCCTCCAGCTTTCCTGTTTCTGGGCCCCTGTCTACTCATCTATTCTTTCAGGTCCCTTATACAATAGTCTCTAATGACCACCGAAAAGACAGATGATTCTAATTTCTTGTCTTAGGGGTCACAAACTCAAATACCAGGAGTTTAGTGTATGACAATGGTAAGTCGTGGAAACAGAAGGAAAAAGATTTATTTACACAGCTCCACCTGGTTGTTTCCAGGTGGAAGGCAGGCCCAGTGTTACATTTTCTGAGCTTTAAAGAAAAGACAAACAAATCTAGACTTCTATGTAAAACTTCCCAGTTTTTAAAACCCTTTGCCACAACTATATGCAATATACCAGGAAACTATATGAAGTGTATAATTTTCCAGAAAAATATAACTTACCAAAATTGACCCCTATAGAGATGGCAAATCTAAACAGACTAATTACCATAGAAGAAATAAAGCAGGAGAACTGTAAGAGAACTCCAGGCCCAAGAAGGTTTCACAGGGGAATTCTTTCAATCTTAAAGGTCAGATAATACCAATGCCACTCAAACTATTCCAAAGCAAAAAGAAGAAGGAGGAGGAGGAAGAGGAGAAGGGGGAGGAAGAAGAAGGAAGAGAAGGAGGAGGAGAAGGAGGAAGAAGAAGGAAGAAGAAGGAGGAGGAGGAGGAGAGGGAGGAGAGGGAGGAGAAGGAGAAGACGGCAAATCTTATGTATGAATATTGATGCAGCTATCCTAAATGTTAGCTGACTCTAACAGCATATTAAAACAAAGAAATCACGCCTAAATGGGGTTCATTAAGGACTGTCAGAATAATCAGACTATTAGGATGAGTCAGGGCAGTAGTTCTCAACTGGAGGTGATTTTTGCCCCTAGTAAGACACTTGGCAAAAAATGTTAAACTTTCCACAATGCACAGACAGCCCTCCGCAGCAAAAAGTTATCTGACCCAAAATGTCAATAGTGCCGATGTTGAGGAACCCTGGACTTGGCTGTGGTGCAGTAACAATTCCCAAATCTCAGTGGCTCGAAGCAACAAAGGTTTCTCACTCACACTACATGTCTACTGAGGATCTGTTAGAACTCTGCTTTATGTCCTCCTCACTCAGGGGCCCAGGCTGAGGGAGGCCTTCTAAGATTTTCAAGGCAAATGAAGAGTATTGCACTGGACCCTAAGCTATGTCCAGAAGTGACATCCATTATTGCCATCATATTTCATTGGCTGCACTTAAATTCAAGGAGATAGGAAGTACATCCATCCATGTGCTTTGATGCAGAACTGGAAAGTGTTGCCAACTCCAAAGGCAATCACCTCTAGTTGGGACTCTCAGGTAATCTGCAAAGCTACCCAGCTTTGAATCCCACACTTTCTAGCTTGAGCTAGGTCACAACCTGTGTCTTAATGTTGTCTTCCAAAAATGAAGAAAATAAACCAATTTTATAGAGCTATCACATAATGCTTTAATCAGTTAAAACATGTCAAGTGCTTAGAATAGTGCCTGGGACATAAAAAGAGCTCAAGACATGCTAAGCCAGGATGTTGATGATGAATTAGGTGAAGTACTCAACGTGGAATTGGCATTTAGTAAAGGATTGTTGTTACTGCTGTCTGAGAAAAATGACTTACTCGAGGTAATCTGGCTGGTACCTGCAGCATGGTGGTTAAGAGCCTGAGCTCTGGGGTCTCAGCTTGGCACCATAGTAAGTACCTAATAAATGTTAACTATTATTTGGAGAAGGTTCAGTGTGGTTAAGAGCACAGCCTCTGGAGGCCCACTACCTGGGTTCAAATCCTAGTTCCATTAACCAACAAGCTGTGTGTCCTTGGGCAAGTTACTAGCCTTTCTGTGCCCTGGTTTTCTCATCTGTAAAGGAAAGATAATAATAGGACACCTGTAATTATGAGTATTGAAAAACAATATATTTTTAAATTGTATAAAATTTTTTAAATTAAAATAAAATTTAGAAAAAGCAATGTAAGTAAAGCCCTCAGGACAGTGCTTGGCACATTATTAGTGCCATATGGCTGTTAGTTATTATTATTATGATACTCTTGGTTTGCCACAAGGAAGCATTGAAAAGTGACAGAAAAACAGCTTGTTTCTCCCAGCCTAATTGAGACAGGAGAGAAGGGAAGATGGATACAAATTCAGCAGTCCTCATGCTACAGAAACCTTTGCAGATGGAGCCCAAAGTAGGAGAAAAAAAAATAGAAGCTTTTCCTACCTGCCCCAGGATATTCCTAGAAGTCAGTGAGAATCCCCATTTGTCCTCAGACATCCCTGCAACGTAGGACTGCAAGAGAAGGGACAGGAAGAGTAAGCAGAGCCAAAAGGCATTCAGAGCTTCCCTGCGACAGCTGGTTTCTTCCAAATCCAATCCTGTTAGCAGCTGCAGTTTCCCATTCAACCAGACGAGGGCGCTGAGCTGAAAGTCTGGTTGGCAATGAGTGAAAAAACGCTATTTAACCTTTTCCTACCCACCAGATGTTGCTGCAAACCTTAAACCCCAAAACTTAAAAGCTTTAAACAACAACATTTATTTCTTGTGATTCTGTAGATCACCTGGGCAGTTCTTTTTAGGGCAAGTTGGCTTGGCTGATTAGTTTGCATTATTTCATATCACCCTCATAATAAAGCCTACAGAGTAGGTATTCTTATTATTCTCATTTTATATGTGACAAATCTGAGGCTTAGAGAAGGTAAGTGACTTACCCAGCAGGCTATACCTAATATTTGCAGGACTGGGGCAAGAGTATAAATGGAGGTGTATTTAAGAAGTTACAAAGGAAGCAAATGAGCTGTTGAATAAAATACAGCCTATTCTGCTACCTTGACAAATAAACCTCCACAATGACCTGGAAGGCCACATGCAGATATCTGAGCCCCGTGGAACTCTGCACTAGAAGGTGATGGAATTGGGGAGAGCAGGACAGTAGCCCTGCTCCCCTTCTCTTTATAGTCCTAAATACGTTTCCTTGCAAGGGGCCTTGAGCACATGTGTGCAGGTGTCTGAACCTGTACACTTGTGTTCTGTTCTAGGGCTTCTAAATTGAAAAGGTCCATCAGGTATCCAACACAATGAATGATTAATGAGCCACAGCACATTTCAGTACACAGGGAACCGAAAGAAGATCTTAAAAACCTCCAGAAAGAGAATGGGGGGAACCTACACCAGAGTCAGGAATAAGAATGGCAAAGCTAGAAGAACCAGAATAGCTTCAAAATTCTGAGAGAATTCTATCCTCATCCAAATCACCATTTAAATGTACGAGAAGAATAAAGACATTTTCAGTGGTCACTTAACATGTATGGTAGTGTGGTAACCACCTCCAAGGGGCCTCTAATGAGTTCTTCCTCTTGGTATCCACACCCTTATCCTCTTCCCTCTCACACTGATTATGGCTGACCTTTGGTATCATGGAATATTGCAGAATTGACAGTATACGATTTATAAGGCGGGGTCATAAAAGACATTCTGGTTTCTGCTTTGCTCTCTCTTGGATCACTTGCTCTGGTGAAAACCAGCCACCATGTCATGAGGACAATCAAGCAGTTGGATGAAGCGGTCCATATGGCGAGGAACTGAGGCCTCTTGCCAACAGCCTGCACCAACTGGCCAGCTACACAAGCGCACCATCTTGGAAGTGGATCCTCCAACCACTAGTCAAGCCTTCAGAAGACTTGAAGCTCCTGAGAGAGCCAAGCCAGAGCCACGTAGCTAAGCCACTCCCAAATTCGTGACTAGCAGAAACTGTGAGATAAACGTTAATTGTAGTTTTAACTTGTGAAGTTTGGGAGTAATCTGTTACACAACAGAAGATAACTAATACTGGGGGAAAGGGGACAGTGGGGAGTCACGGTGTTTGGTAGTTCTTCCAATCGAAAGGTGGAGTCTATCTCTTCACTCTTGAATTTGGATTTGGCCAGTGAAACTTGATTTGGTTGATGGGATATTAACAAAAACTACAGAAGCTTGTGCAATTGAGTCTTCCCTCTTGTGCTCCTGGAAGTCAACAACTGCCACAGTGTGACTGAGCTCAGGCAGCCTGCTGGAGACATGTGGACATCAGCTCAGCTGACAGCTAATTATCCACTAGACAGGTGGGTGGGGCCATTGTAAACTAATCAGCCAAGCCAGCTTGCCCTGAAAAGAACTGCCCAGGTGATCTACAGAATCACAAGAAATAAATGCTGTTGTTTAAAGCTTTTAAGTTTTGGGGTAATTTGTTACACAGTATAAGCTAATGGATACAACATATTTATTTCATGTATACCTTTTGTTTCAGGAAACTACAGGATGTGCTCAAAGTCTAGTTACTTCCTAAACTCATCTGATCTTGGGCAAGTTAATTCACCTCTTTCAGCCTCAATTTTCCTTATCTTCAAATTGGAGATAACATTGGGTAACACTTTCTATTTCTTAAAGGTCATGTGACAAAGAATTGAGATGAACTACATGAACTACATATATGCTTAGCACAAAGTGTGGCACACGGTGCTCAGTAAATCAGTAAAAGATGACAGTGACGTATGTAAATGACAGGAAAGAATCCAAAAATAAGTAGACGTCATGGGTAAGGCCTGGGTTAGGCCTGCAGTGAGACATGGTCTTTCCAAAGAAAGGCTACTTGATGTATCATTCAATAAACAACCATTTACTAAGCATTTACCACGTGCCAGGCCCTCTGCCTGAAACTGTGATGTGAAAACAGGAAATCAGTCATGACACTGAGCTATTTGAACCAGAACCAAGCTTGCCTATTTCACAAAGAATTGTACTAGGACATCAGAATGTTTCTGAATGGAACTTGAACAGATGGATATTTTAGTTTGCAGCCCTCCATCTTGTCTGGATACTCCAGAGCCAGAAGTGAAGTGCAGAGGATATCCAAAGTATCCCTTAACTCTCTACATCCTGTCTTTTCCTGTCTCCACCAATTTGTAAGGAAGCATTCTATCCTGAAACCAAAATCATTTCAACTCTAAACAGGGGCTTTCCATTTTTTTTGACCTCAACCCACAAGATGAAAAACATTTTAAATTGCACCTGAGTACACAAACCCAAAGCTGGAATGAAAGTACCATAAATTGAGACTTAAAAATGTGTGGCACATTCTGAATTTTTTATTCTATTCTATTGAATTTTGTAAAGCTGGTCACAATCCTCTAAATGGATTTTAAGACCTATTAATGGGTCACAACCAGCTCTTTGAAAAAACTGCTCTGAAATATCACATGAGGAGGGGACGTAAAGATCATCTAGTCCAATCCTTTCACTTCACAGGGGGTAAACTGAGACTCAGAGAGGTTAAATCACTTGCCCAAGACCACACAGCTAGTAAGTGGCAGTGCTTGGATCTGAATCAAGATCTGACTCAACTACTGAATTCTTACCATGTGTTAGGTACTGTGCTAAGTTCTTGACGTGCATTATTTCATTCAATACTCACTGTGATCCTATGAAACAGACACTACTATTCCCACTTGGCAGACGAGGAGCGAAGTCTCAGGATGGGGAACATGACTAATTCGGGGTGTCCACCGTCAACAACAGACCCAGGACTTGTCTCCAGATTCGGCTGTCCATAAAGCCCAGGGTCTCGACCGCTAAGCCCACTGTGAAGAAAGTGGTTATGAAAATGGGTTTGTGAGCTCTAAGCGCCTAAGCGTGCACATGTGAGCAGTGACAACGTTGTGCTCCCCACTCCTCAGGGCATTATCACTGCGCCACCAGCTCCCAAAAGCCATTGGTGGTAAACGAGAGTAGACTTTAGCCTGAGGGGGAGGAGGATTCAAGACCCAGTCCCACCATTTACTCAGAACACCAGCTTAACCTCTCTGCTCTTCAGTTTCAACATCTGTGAAGCTGGGAAAGCGACAGCATCCGACTCCAGGACTGAAAGAGTCAACGTTCATTCCCTGGCTTCTGGAAGCGCTGGTCAAACTGCAACCCTTCTCCGAGCCCCGCCCCGCTACTTTTCCACAAGCGCATGCGCCGCACAGGGGCGCCTTTTACGACGCGGCGGCCGCAGCGCGCTTGGCGGCCGGAGCGAAACCAGCTAGGCGCGGGCGGCGGCGGCGGCAGGGCTGAGGGGACGCGAGGGCGGCGGCGTCGCCATGTCGCACGGCCACAGCCACGGCGGGGGTGGCTGCCGCTGCGCCGCCGAACGGGAGGAGCCGCCGGAGCAGCGCGGCCTGGCCTACGGCCTGTACCTGCGCATCGACCTGGAGCGGCTGCAGTGTCTCAACGAGAGCCGCGAGGGCAGCGGCCGCGGCGTCTTCAAGCCGTGGGAGGAGCGGACCGACCGCTCCAAGGTGGGCCTCTTGGGGGCAGGGGCGGGCAGGTGGGCGGGTGAGGCGGGGACCCGCGTGAGGCCTCAGGCCTCTCGTCTGCTCTGTCAGCCTCATTCTCGAAGTTAAAAATAACCACGGCCCGATTGCCAAGCGCTTTCCCCTGCCCGTCTCCTGCCAGCCTTTTGAGAGGCGGACAGGGTCGAGTGTCCCCATTTTGCAGATAGACGAACTGAGGCCCAGAGACGGAAAGGGGCGTTTTGGCTTTACGCGGCCAACGTTCAGTTCCAGGGCTGCTGAGGGTAGTGAGGAAGGATGGCCAGGAGGGCGTTTCCCTTACCGTTTGCCCACTAGTCCCAATGGCTGCCTGATCACTTATCACCTGATGAAGACCAAAGACCAGAGACTTCCAGCCTAGGGAGATGAAGCACTTTACCCTATCTAGAACATCTACCATTTTGGGGTCACAGAGCCATTTGAAAGCTGTGGACCGAATAGGCACAAATCTTTGCATACAATTTCAGGAGGCTAGTCGGCCCTGGAAGTTAATAAGTGCTGGAAAACCGAGGGAGGTTGACTGTTTATTTGCATTGCACTCCAGTTGTAGAACAGGGTGGAAGATGCCTGAAATTATAGGCTCTCAGCAAATATTTGTTGCTTTCTTCTCCCCCACCCCTCATCCCCTCCAGTTTGTTGAAAGTGATGCAGATGAAGAGCTTCTGTTTAATATTCCGTAAGTATCTCCTTGGTGCTTGCCTCAGGCTAATAGATACCCAGTCACATTATCAGGATTCATTCTTTGGTTGTGTCAAGAGCACACATCTGTTTCTAGAAATTGAATAAATTACTGTGGTGGGTGTGAGGAGGAAAGCATCCTGGCTTTCTTGATGCAGACTGAAGAACGATGTATTTGTCAAAAGATAACTGAGAAGTCGAGGTAAATTTCTTAGAACTGCAGAATGCCAGAGGCAGACAGGATTGTAGAAATTATCTAGTAGCAGTCTGACACATGAGTAAACTGAAGCCCAAAAAGGGAAAGGGTCTTGCCCAGGGTCACACAGCTCAGCAGAGATTCAAACCCAGGTTGACACCTCTCTCTTTTCCATTCTGGCAGATTTACAGGCAATGTCAAGCTCAAAGGCATCATTATAATGGGAGAAGATGATGACTCACACCCCTCTGAGATGAGACTGTAAGTGGCAAGGGTTCAGGCCCTCAAGAATCCCCTATTTCTTTTATCTCTTTAGTATCACTTTAATCCAGAATAATACAGTTTTTTTCTTTGTACTGGGTTAACCGTTGCCTCCCTCTCTTAAGGAAAAATCTTGTGCTTGTTCTGTGTCAGAATTCACTTAACTCTTCCTGAATTGACATTTTTAGATTAAGCATCTTTAGGGCCAACAACTTGTCTCTCTTCAAAGTGCTTGCTATGGCACCATTAATTCCAAGAGCATCCTATAAATGCCAATTTGTTGATGACTTTGCAGTTTTCTTAATAATCCAGCCACAGATCCCAAATGATCTTTATGGATTCTACTCTTGGGGTTAGCTTCAACATTTTCCCTTGCAGTTTCAGATAGTTATGATCTTTCTTTTTGTTTTGTTGAGATGGAATTACTCCATCTGAGTTTGCCTGGCCTTTAGTTAGCAAAGTTCTATATACCTCTTTTGACACTGAATCTGTTGACACCAGAGCTAGTAGTCCCTTTTTGACAACTTGCCTTTTTCCAGCATAGCTTTTCTAAAAGAAGGGGAAATTGATTTTGAGTGCTAAAGAAACAAATATCAAAAGAACCTTACATAAAAAAAAATTTCTTGTGAAGACATACAGATGGCCAATAGGCACATGAAAAGATAGATGCTCAACATCGCAAATTATTAGAGAAATGCAAATCAGAACTACAATGAGGTATTACCTCACACTGGTCAAATGGCCATCATTAAAAAGTACACAACAATAAATGCTGGAGAGAGTGTGGAGAAAAGGGAACCTTCCTGTACTGTTGGTGGGAATGTAATTTGGTGCAGCCACTATGGAAAACATTATGAGATCCTCAAAAAACTAAAAATAGAGTTACCATATGATTCAGCAGTCCCATACCTGGGTGTATATCTGGGAAAAAAAAACTCTTAATTTGAAAAGATACATGTACCTCCATGTTCATAGTAGCCAAGGCATGGAAGCAACCTAAATGTCCATCAACAGATGGTTGAATAAAGATGGTGGGGGGGGGTGTGGGTGTGGGTGTGTGTGTGTACACATACACAATGCAATACTACTCAGCTGTAAAAAAGAATGAAATAATGCTATTTGCAGCAACACGGATGGACCTAGAGATTATCATACTAAGTGAAATACAAAGACAGAGAAAAATGAGTATCATATGATATTACTTATATGTGGAATCTAAAAAATGATAAAAATGAACTTATTTACAAAACAGACTCACAGACATAAAAAACAAACTTGTGGTTACTAAAGGGGAAAGTGGGGAGAGGGATAAATTAAGAGTTTGGGACTAGCAGATACAAACTACTGTATATAAAATAGATAAACAACCAGGTCCTACTGTATAGCACAAGAAACTGTATTCAACATCTTGTAATAACTCATAATGAAAAAGAATATATGCATAATTGAATCACTGTGCTGTACACCGGAGACTAACACAACATTGTTAATCAATTATACTTAAATAAAAAAATTTTTTTCTTATAAAAATTTGATCAACTGAAATGAGAGATTTAAGAAATGGACATTATTTTTGAATGTTAAAAACATGAATTTGAAAGCAAATTCACATATTTAATCATTTTAAAGAAACGGTACGTTTGAGTTGATGCTTTTGGAGATTCATTTACTTGGGAGATGGATTGTCTGGAGAAGACTGGACATCCATGTTGCATTGTGGTTAAGAGCAGGCTCTGGAATAAACTGCTCAGGTTCAAATTCTGGCTGTGCTATTTGCTAGCTGCATGACTTTGGGCATTACTTCTCTATATCTTAATTTTTACATTTGTAAAATGGCAATAATAATAGTCTGGACCTCTTAAGATTGTGGAGAGAAATGAACTATAACATGTAAAGAATGTAGAATAAACCTGGAACATAGTAAGTGCCTAGTTTTCGAAAAGCAGATGCAAATACTTACATAGCCCTGAGTTCTAAGCCCTTTGCATATGTTATACTTTATTGAATCTAAGATGTCATTGATTGTAAAATGCACCATTAATAAAGAAAAAAATAGTGCCTGTTCAACTATGACGTGTCATTGACACATCCAGAAAAGTTAAATTGAGACTTAAATCTATGAAATTTGAACACAGACTAGGTGTTAGATGATATTAAAGAATCACTGTTAATTGTTGATAGTATCTTAGGTGTTTTTGTTTTTTCTAAGAAGTCCTTACTCTGTAGATATATATGCGGAAGTATTTATGAGTAAAATGATGTGAGTGAAATGATTTATGAGTGAAATGATGAGTTTGATATGGGATTGCTTTAAAATATCAAGCACAAACAAAATGGGCCTGATAGGCAAATTGGCATAGTGTTGATTATTGAAGCTGAGTAGTAAGTATATGGAGATTCATTATATTTTCCTCTCTAGTTTTGTATGTTTGAAATTTTCTGTAGTAAAATTTTTTAACATATCTGTCTCTTAGAGTTGACTTAATTTAATGTCTACATCATCTATGTGGGATATGTACTATTACTATCCCCACAGATGAGGAACTAAGAGACAGAGAGGTTAAATCACTTGCGCAAAATCACATAGCTGGTAAGTAACAGAGCAAGGTTTTAAGCCTGGGAAGTCTGGCCCCAGAGACACTGCTTTTAACTACAGTGTTACACTGCCTCTCATAATGCTGCTCATAAATGTTCACTGCTGTTGTTATTATTCTGTGCATCATTCTTAAAATCACTTTGAAGCAAACATTTGCCTTCTTAAATTACATGCGTTTTACTGCAGCTAATGCCTAGGCCCCTCCCATGTGGGTGTGTTAATAAAACATGCTAGAGTTTGGGGAATGTGGCTCGGTCCTTTAGAGTCTGTGAGTTATGAAGGAGACAGCTGTTTCTTAGATATGTCTTTGAAAATTTTTTTCTTCACTAGCAGTTTTACTTGATTTTCCAAATCTCATTGTGAGCTTGCAGACTTTTGTGCTCTTTTCAAAATGAAAATCCCCAAATTGTATTTTTTAAGAATTGTACAATGACTCAGTATATAGGGTAATTTTGAACACAAAAAATGCTTGAGCATTGGGTTACCTGATCTTATCTCTTAACTGTTTAATATGTTTATGCCAAAGTATTTTTCCCCCATGAGTAAGCTGTTTTATTTAACCTCCTCAGCTTGGTCTGAATGTGCTGAGTTGCTTATTTTCTCCATGCATTTGCTGCATGTGACCTAGTTTGAGCTATCTCTTTGTGTACTGCTTCTCATGTGATCTTAACCCACTCAGAGATGCCATTGGCTTACGTTGCAGTTCTCAGCTCTTTTCTTGTTGAATTAAAGATATTTGTGTATAAATGCCAGTAAAATGCCATTTCCAAAATGTGATCTTCTTTTGACAGAACTGAGGAGAGAGTTGAGGCATCAGTAGAAAGTTTTGAGAAATTGAAAAATGTGATAGCGCACATTTAAAATTTTTTCTTCCCTTTCCTTTCTCAGATACAAGAACATTCCACAGATGTCCTTTGACGATACAGACAGGGAGCCAGATCAGACCTTTAGTCTGAACCGGGATCTTACAGGAGAATTAGAGTATGCTACGAAGTAAGCATTTGACCTCTCTTCCACTCTCTGGCTTCTTCCAAGAATAGCAGGCACTCCCTCATTTGCAATGAGCTTCTGTTAATTAGCACTTACTGGGCTTCCAGTTTGTTTTTGGCCCATCTCCTGCTCTCTTAGCATCAGAAACAAGTTAAAACAGCGGAGGAGGCTTGATCCTAGGGTTGGTCAAATTTTGGCAGAGATGGAGTGCAAGCCACAGACTTGTTAACCTGTAAGCAGTTGGCAGATGGAATGAGCTCATAGGATGGCCTTAGGAAAGATAATTTCAGAATTCCTCTTTGCATAGTGGGCTTGCAGCAGGCCAAGTTACACGTGACCACCTTATCTCCTCACTAGTTATTTTTCCTACTGAGCTTGCTTTTGAATTCCTGCGTGGTCATATAGCATTTCTCATTCCTGTCTCTTGAGGGCAGGGGCATTGTTGATTTCTTTTTCTGTCCCTGTTGCCTTGGGCAGAATCTGGCAGATGCTTAGTAAATGTTCACTGTATTAATTGCTTGTCCAGAGAAGAAGAATGAGACATAAGACCTCAAGAATGTCCTCTGACATTTGCCTGGGTTTTACAACAAGTTGGAGCTGGAATTGTCATTTTTGACATGGTGGTGAGCTTCTCATTGAATTCTGATTGTTGTCTTCTCTCCCCACTCTTCATCCTCTAGAATTTCTCGTTTTTCAAATGTCTATCATCTCTCAATTCATATTTCAAAAAACTTTGGAGCTGATACCACGAAGGTCTTTTATATTGGCCTGAGAGGAGAATGGACTGAGGTAAGATGGGGTTGGAAATGTTGCCCCCTCCAGTGTAGGTACATGTGTATGTATATAGCTGCATGCTGTGGTTGTTGGAGGTTGGAGTTTAAGGAAAGGAAAAAGAGCCAGTAAGACGCTGACTGCTCCCAGTCTCTCTATAATTTTTCTTGGTTTCATCACTGTAAACTGTCTGTTTCATTTGACAAGTATTAGGAATTTTAAGGGGGTTGATATCAATTCAGTTTTTCACCTTGAAATTCTTTCCTTCATTCAACATTGTTGATAACCTTTCTTGTTCCAGGCACCAGAGATAGATGATAAACGAGATAGACAAGGGGGGTGTATAACTCAAGTGGTAGAGCGCATGCTTAGCATGTACGAGGCCCTAGGTTCAATCCCCAGTACCACCTCTAAAAATAAATAATAAAGCCTAATTACCTTAAAAAAAAAAAGAAAAAAGATAGACAAGGTCTTCTGATAGTGCCTCCATTGTAGTAGCAGAATGAATCTTCTCAGTTATGGGATGAATCATTGACTTGATCTTGTCCAGGCTTCTCAGGATAAAAAGTATCAGAACGGAGAAGAGATTAGATGACAATTTCTAGAAATGAACCTGAATAAGGACTACTCCTTTGTGTGGCCTGGGAAATGGCCAGCTGACCCAGCCTCTCCATTTTCTTGCAGCTTCGCCGACATGAGGTGACCATCTGCAATTATGAAGCGTCAGCCAACCCAGCCGACCACAGGGTCCATCAGGTTACCCCGCAGACACACTTTATTTCCTAAGGGCTGGCCAAGGCTCCCACAGAAGCGTTGTGTCAGTGAAGATGTACGACATCCTGTTGGGAAGGACAAAGAGAGATGGGGCTCCAGAGAGAGTTGGCTCCCACAGCCTCTGCCAAGCTTGTCTTTGCGGCTTGCTGCAGAAACCTGGCCCATGGAAGACACCACGCCACCGGAAAGGGTTGTGCTGGTGCTGAGGGACAATCGTGGTTCTCTGGGGTCCTGCAGAAATTGGGTCTTGGGCTGGTCAGCATCTGGCAGTCATGGATAATGCTCGCCTTTCCAGTTAATGTGGCCATAGGATCCCAAGTGTCTTGTTGCTTTGTGGCAGGATTTTTGTGTGATTTGTGTTTTTTTTAAAAAATAGAAACTATTCCTGGGCTGCCGTAAACTTTCTGAAGTCTCAGCATTGTGTTTGTACTAACCATCAGGAGGGTCTCCAACTAGAAATACTTGTCCCTGCTTGCTCCTTCTCCCTGTCATCATACAGCATTCTTGTCAGGTTGCCTAGCTTGGAGTTGTCTGTCATGCAGTAGTGTCCCATGGTTACGGCTAGAAGAGCAGGAATCTCCTAATGATGGTTAATAGCTTGAGGAGAAGGTCTTTTTTTTTTCTACTGCCCAGGTAAGCAGTCTGAGGAGAGCATGGGCTTCATGTCTGTGTTTGTGGGTATCCTGCTCGGGGTAAAATTAGGACTTAGGTAAGATTCCCCTTGGGACATCCTTAATGTTTATTAGCTTCTAACTAGTGTTGTAAGCCCAGTGGCAGAATTTGAAGATCTCAGTTCTTCCATTCATGGCTTTTTAATTCACTGTGACTAATAAGCTTCCTAATAAATCCTTGCCAGACTTAACGTTTGTATATTCTTTTGAGTTCTTGGTAGTACTTATGAAACTTCTACTTTACTGGGAATTGTGTAGAACTTTGAAATTTGTTGTTGTTGTTTTGGATTAGGTAGATCACACTTGTCACAGTTACATGGAGACTAGATCAGTTTCTCTAGGAAAGGTCAGGCTTAATTCTGTACCGTAGGCTAAAAACATTCCTACACCTACCCACCCACATTTTGTAAAGAGGAAGGTGAGGTTAAAAACCTTTTATTCCATTTCTCATGTAAGGAAGTAACTTGCGGGGTGACATTTACAAAAATAAGGGAGAACAGATTCTGGAGCTCATCAGAAGAAACAGTGGTGAGGGAAGTAAGTTAGCAGCACATACAGCCTGAACGTAGACCCAAGACTTTGGACTTAAGTTTTGAAAATCAGTACAGCAACTGGAGAGAATTTAAGTATCTAAAAAGAGAGGATTTGAAATGGTCAGTTTTCTCTCCCTTGCAGAAAACAGAAACACTTGTTAATGGGAATTAGTGTTGAATTTGGTCCTCTTAAGAGAATTCCTCTGAGGAATTGGCTCACACTCTTGTTAGGAGGATATGCCCACTGTTTCTCCAGCCTGTTCTGAGGAAACCCTGTCACCACTAAGCTTTGTGGAGCCTCAAAATTTCTAAAATGCAGCCTGAAATCAACCAGAACGCAAACGTAATTCTTGATGCATTAAAGGTCCTACTCCTCCGCCATAGCCTCTTTATTTCATTTGGATCATTTTGGAGATAAAAATAAGGGCTACATTTTAATTTGGAGTTGGGGGAAATACAGTTAGAAATCTTATACTAGCTCTTCATTAATTTCACTGATTAAAGCGTTACTCACAGCCTCGGACTGAGCCTCTGAATTTGAGCTTCAATGAAGAATTTTCTCGAAGTGCCACATTGTCTCAGGTGACTGGAGGCTCAGGAGGAATTGTTTATTCTTCTGTTTTCCTACTCAGGTATTGGTGTTTCAGGCTGTCTCTCTGACCTGCTAAGCACTTAAGACCAAACTGCCTCTTAACCTGGGAAAAAGTGCTTTGTTGAGCTTCCAAGTTTTCTGTTTTCTTTTAGTTCAAAGAAAAACTAGTGTAGGTTACTCTGGGCAAATGAATCCTAAGCTGCTGAGGGATGAGCATGACTCACATCCTCTTTGCGGATGCCCACAGGCTTTCAGGGACATGGTCCTGCAACTCAGTTTATCTCCCCTTCCAGCCTTTATGTGGACCGAGCCCCATGCCACTTTACCAGTGCAGCAAGGAGCTAAGTGTGACTCAGTGACCAAATGAAACCCTTTTTGTTAACACCTGGAGCCCACTGAAGGTGGTATTTTGTGCACTGTTTGTATGACATTGCTTGCTGAGGGCAGAGCTAAGACAATACTTCCGATTCCTGTCCAGTTGTCCTGGATACTTGCTGATGCCAGTGTTCTTTTTTCCCAGGGCCCTTTTTAGAGTCATTATGTCCTCACGCTGATTTTACACTGTATAAAGCATTTCCACATGACCCCGTTTGAACCTAATAGTAAAGCTGTGAAGTTGGCAGGGTGGTTTTTATCACTATTTTATAGCTCAAGAAGCAGGTGCAGAGGCAGCATTACAGTGTAATCCTGAGACTGGTTTACTTTGCTTCCCTAAGCCTCAGTTTCCTCATCTTTAAATAAGCAGGAAGACTAGATGGTCTCTAAGGATCTTTTCAGCTGAGTGTAGGACTATACTTGTGATCCTGGAACAGGGCATGAAAGCCAGCAGTGGATACCCAAGACCATGGGTGTTTACTAATGAAGTGGGGTCTATAGGTGGGAAACTATGCTAGGGTGAGCCTTCAGGATAGAATTCCTCCAGGAGGCGCATGGGTGGTGGCAGGAAGTGGGAGTCACGGATGCACTGTCTAGATTCTGCAGGTGACTCCGTGACTTAATGACGGGGAGTGGCCCCACCGCATCCAACATGGCAGCTCTTATTTGAAGAAACCCGGACGCCCACTTCCGGGTTCCGTACGGCTGGCCAGGCTACTTCCGGCAGCGCGATGGCTGGTTTCCCGGGACTCGAACGGAAGTTCCGGCGGGGGCGGTCGAGGGGGAAGAGTGTGTGTCTGTGCGGGAGAAAGGAGAATCGCCCGAGAGGTCTCGAAACCCCCAGGGAGTGGAGGTACCTTGGTCCGGGGCCAGCAGGCCGAGGGTGGGCACTGGGGGAGGGGGCGTCGGCCCACCGCGAGGGTCCTGGCGAGTGGGGAGGGGCAGCCGCAGTCTTGAGGGATGGGGGTGGGGAGTGAGGTGCGGAGAGGCGCTGGCCAGTCTTGGGGACCTTAGGGGTGGAGACGGGGAAGAAGTTGGGGTCCGGGGATGATGAGAGGGACTTAGGGTCGGAAGTGGAAGATCCCATTGTGGGGCGGGGGCTCTCCGGGGTCAAAGGTAGAACGCCTCTTTGTTGGCAGGGTCCAGGGTCAGGATAGAAAATGTCACTGTGGCGAGGACGATCCTAGGTCAGAACAGAAGTTCCCACTGTGGGGAGTGGTAGACCCTGAATCAGGGTGGAAGTTTTTACTGTGAGAGGCAGGGGGAGACTCCAGGTCAGAGGCGAAGGCACCACTCTTAAGAGGAGGGACCTGGAGTAAGAGGTGGAAGTCGCCCAGTGGGGAAGGAGAATAATCTCAGCTTAGGGCGAAAGATGCGCTCCTGTGTGGGAAGAGGAGCCTCAGGGTCAGAGGTGAGGGATCCTACTGTGAAGGGGGGCAGTTGGGGTCTGAGAGGGAAGGTGGGAGGGGTGGGTGCTGCTAAGAGGGGTAGGCACTTAGGAGCAGGTAGCAGAAGCTTCCGGAGAGTTTGGAGGATGCTAAGAATGGGGAGGAGCCAGCCAGTTTGACATTCTTTTGTGTTGTTGGGAGTCCCAGAGCATGGTGGAGCTGGGGGACTTATTTGGAGAGTCAGTGGGCAGCAGCAGCAGCAGCAGGTAGCCCCATTCGGTGGAGCATGAGGCACCATTTAGGGGGTGAGTGGTGGACCAGTTCATGTGCCTTCTGGGGACATGTGCAGCTCCAGGAATGGCTGAGCCAGAAACTGCTGTCAAGGCTGATGGGTGCTGGATGGGAGAGAAGTTGGAGAAAATGTGTGTAGGGTAGGAGGTAGGGGCTGGAAACATATTTCCCTAGCATTTTTCTCCCCTTCCTTTTCCAGTAGGGCCCAGAGTTGGGGAGGAGGGGACCCGAGGGCCCTAGAGAAGAGGGATGATTGGAGCAGGGAGAGGATGCAGTTACTGCTAGTGTTACGTAGGGAGGAGGCAGCAGGGGGTGCCCTGGCTTGCCTCCCCTGTGGCCCCTAAGCGGTGCCTCTGCCCATTTCCAGGCTGGATGGTGGGCCAGAACGTGGGCCACTCGGGTGGCTGCCTTTGCTTTTCAGCCCTGGAATGGAGGCAGACTTCCTGCCTGCCTGGACCCAGGACTTCTTGCTCAGCTTTTCTTTGTGCGCAGGACAGAACCCAGGTTGCTCTTGGGGGCTGATCGCTTGGGTTTGAGGCTCGGCTCTTGTGTCAGGATTCTGTCCCCTGCCTGGTCTTGCTCTTGACCACAACCCTGAATTTGCACAGGCCCCAGCCGTGGAGCCCTGCAGTGTATGTGTGGTAACACCATGTCTCTGCCCCTGCTCACCGATGCTGCCACTGTGTCTGGAGCTGAGCGGGAAACGGCTGCGGTAAGGTTCCTCTCCTACCCACGCAGCCCCCAGGCCAGCTGGGGAACTGGCTGGAGGGGGTGTGGGGAAAAGGGAGGTGGCAGTGATGAGAGGGGAGCAGCCTGAAGCTGGGAGGCAGGGGGTTAATCACCTGTTTGGCTGCTACCTCACTTCTCCCTCCAGGCCTTTGGGGGTGAGGGAGGGGTGGCCAGGGGTTGGAGGACAGAGTGAAGTGAAAGTGGCAGAAGGATGATGACTGCCTTCTTCCCCATCTCTGATCCTTTTACAGGTTATTTTTTTACATGGACTTGGAGACACAGGGTGAGTGAGCTGGGGAGGGGGTGTTGCTGAGGAGGTGGGAATGGCCCAGTGGGCAGGACTGGAGAGGCCTGTGCCCTCCCTGGCTCCCTCTCCACATCGGTGCCTTTTCTCCCTTCCCTCCTACAGACACAGCTGGGCTGACGCCCTCTCCACCATCCGGCTCCCTCACGTCAAATACATCTGTCCCCATGCGTGAGTGACGCCCCAGCAACAGAGGGGCTAAGGAGGGGGGTGGTCTTGTAGTCCCAGGCCTGTTTTCTCCTGCCAGCTGCATCCTGGGGCCTGCGGCCTGGGCCCAGGGCAGTGAGAAGTGCCATTTTCAGCCTTCATTCCTGTGGAGCCCCCAGGAATGGGGTCCAGCCCCCAGATCAAGGCCTCCTAGACCTGAGACTCCTAGAGCCAGCACCCTCCGTACCCCTTCCCCAAATACTCACCGAGCTGGAACCCCGTCACACCAAGTGCTGGACTCTGCTTCTTCATAGCTGCTGCCGCTGCTGCCCCAACCACAGCCTCCAGCCCCACGTGGCAGGTTGCCTGGCAACACCTTAAACACAGGCCCTGCCTGCTGGGAGGGTTCCCCGGGGGCTGCCCTGCCCCCTCCTGGGCTCTCTGCTGTGGCTTCCTTCTCCCTCCTGAGCATGATGGTCCTTCTTGCTGTCCCTCTCCAGACCTCGGATCCCTGTGACACTCAACATGAAGATGGTGATGCCCTCCTGGTGAGTTTGGGGAGGGGAATAGGAGCTGAGGAAGCTCCCCGTGGCTGGCTGGAGACTTCCAGTAGCTGCCAACGCCTCTGCTCTTCCAGGTTTGACCTGATGGGGCTGAGTCCAGATGCCCCAGAGGACGAGGCTGGCATCAAGAAGGCAGCAGAGAACAGTAAGGCCCCAGCCCCTCCTCAGCATCCTCCCTCTCCCCCTCGGTCCCCCCAGGAAAGTGCTGGGCAGTACCTCTGTCTAGTTCCCTTCCCTGGGTGCCTCTAGCAGCTTTCCCTGCACCCAGTCATGCCCCCTCCCCCCAGTCAAGGCCTTGATTGAGCATGAGATGAAGAATGGGATCCCTGCCAATCGGATCGTCCTGGGAGGCTTTTCACAGGTGAGGGGAGAGAGGGGGGTGGGGGTGGGTGGTGGGAGCTGAGCTGTGCCCTCATGACTCCTCATTCTCTCCTTCCTCCAGGGTGGGGCCCTATCCCTCTATACAGCCCTCACCTGCCCCCACCCTCTGGCTGGCATTGTGGCTTTGAGCTGTTGGCTGCCTCTGCACCGGGCCTTTCCCCAGGTGAGTGTCTCCTCAGGGCTTGGGGATTGTGCCTAAGCGCTGTCTTTGCCCTGAGTCCTGTCTGGCCCACAGGCAGCCAACGGCAGTGCCAAGGACCTGGCCATCCTTCAGTGCCATGGGGAGCTGGACCCCATGGTTCCTGTACGGTTTGGGGCCCTGACAGCTGAGAAGCTCCGGTCTGTTGTCACACCTGCCAGGGTCCAGTTCAAGACCTACCCGGGGGTCATGCACAGCTCCTGTCCTCAGGTCAGTGGTGAAGGGCTACTTCCCACTCCCGCCCTCTCCCTCCTCTCTGCAGCCAGGAGCCTCTCACAATCCCCCTCACCCCCAGGAGATGGCAGCTGTGAAGGAGTTTCTTGAGAAGTTGCTGCCTCCTGTCTAACCAGAGTTGCTGGTCTCCAGCGCAGTCCCCGAGCTCACGGGGGACCCAGCACTCACGGCACCATCTTGGATCTGAGCCGGTCGAGCCCCTTTCTCCCCCTCCTGCACCCATCCTTTTCCCACAGGCCTCTGGGGCAGGCAAGCTAGGGCCTGGCTAGGCCTTCCTTCCTGGCTTCAGCCACCTGGCTGTCTGCAGCAGGGGGTGGGCTGCTTTCTTCTCCCATTTCCCTGGAGGTGGGGCCCCCCCAGCAGCAGTATTGGAGGGGCTGTAGGCAGCGGGAGAAAGGGGCCCAGCCGCTGACCCACTCACTCAGGACCTCACTCACTAGCCCCGCTTTGGGCCCCCTCCTGTGACCTCAGGGTTTGGCCCGTGGGGCCCTCACAGGCCCCACTTATTACCCCCTCCCCTCAATTGATTCTGCCCAGATAATCGTGTCTCTCCTGCCTCCACTCCAGCTGCTTCTCAATCATGAATGTGGCCATGGCCCGGGCCCCCCTGCTGCTGTGGGCTACCTGCCCCCCGGGCAGGAGTGCTGGTGAGCGGGCAGAGTCCTTGGAGGGGGCCTTCCCTCAGCTGTTCTGACTTGGGGGCTGGGCCCTGCCTCCCCGTTACCCTCCTCCCTGCAGGCCTGGAGCCTGCAGGGCTGGACTGAGGCTCAAGGCCTCCCCCAGCTGTCTCACCCACGTTGTCCCCACTCTAGGGCCGGGGGAAGGTGGGGAGGACTTGTGTCTGGTCTTCTGTCTCCATGTAGTTTTGGGTGTTTTTCTTGTTGTGTCCTGGATTCCGATAAAATTAAAGAAATTGTGTCAACTCTCAGGCCTGAATGATTCTATCCAGTGGGTAGAGAGTGACCATGTGCAAGAACCTGCTCCAGTGTAAGGAAAGTTTTTATTTTAAATACTTAGGAAAGCTCCTTTGTAGCAGTATAAATTAGTGCCTGGGAGGAGGGTGTCATGTGTGTCTCAGCCCTGCTTCCTGCACTCACTCTTGGTGGTCTTCGTGGGTTCCTGGACCCTGTGAAATAGACTCCTGACACCTGGTAACTGGAGCCCCTGGCCTCATGCCTGGTGGGCTGAGTGTGCCCAGCTGGGGCCTGAGGTAGGGGAGGCGCTGAGGCCCCTGGGTTCCTGTCAGAGGCTGGAGAGCAGGCAGTTGTTTCTCTTTCTTCTGGTCCACGTCGGGGAGGGGTCAGGCCTGCGTGCTGAAGCCGGAAGGGTTCTGCTTCTGCCAGCGCCACAGATCTTCACCTGCGACAACGCAAGGTCAGGTGTCCACGCTGGAATGCAGGGCCCGTGCCACCTCGGGCAGCCCAGGGTGGGCATTCTCAGACTCTGACAGCTCTTTCCTATCCCCTCTCTCTCTCCCAGGGGTGAGCAGCACAGGGTCAGGGGGTGGGGACGGCACTCACACATCCTGTCCAGCCCTAAGGCTGCTGTCCAGCCCAGCTCCTTGAGGGCCAGGCTGGGGTTGGCGTAACAGGCAGCCACATCACCTTCCCGCCGTGCCACCACCTTGTACGGGATCTGCAGGAGAGGGAGCGGGGGTAGCTTCGCTGAGCCAGCCCTGGCCTCACCCACTGAGTTGGTGACCACGCTGTTAGGAAACAGGTATGGAGCAGGATCTCGCTTTCAGGCTTCAAGTCCTAAGGCAGCGTGAGTGGACAGGACAGTGCTGGGATGTCTGTCAGGTAGGTTAGTGGGAGGGGCCCAGCTTCGCTGTTGCTGCAAGTCAGGTGGGCTGGGCTGGGCTGGGCTGGGCTGGGGTGGACTGCCAGCCTACCTTCTTCCCGGAGGCCTTCTCCATGGCGCGGACCATCTGTAGCACCGAATAGCCCGTGCCCGTGCCCAGGTTGTAGATCTGCCCAGGAGAGAATGGGGGTTGTGGAGGGGGCTGGACTTAACACCCCTCTGGCTCCACTTATCCAGGGACCCGTCACCCTCCCCTCCCTCGATCCTCCATTCTCTCCCTACCCGGCAGCCACACTGCTCCTTCAGCTTCCTCAAGGCCGCGATGTGGCCCTTGGCCAGGTCCACAACATGGATATAATCCCGGACGCCTGCAGAAGAGGAGGTTGTTGGGTGGAGGGGCTCAATACAGTTTCTGTCTTGCCTCAGTCTCCCTCCTGGCTCCCCCTGGTCCTGGCTCACCTGTGCCATCCTCCGTGTCATAGTCATTGCCAAAGACATTCAGTGCCTCCCGTCGCCCAATCGCCACCTGGGGTGGAGGTCAGGTTAGTTGTTCCCAGGCCCTTGGCACTAGCTGTACCCCTCTGCCCTAGGGCTACCTGCCGCCTTCTCTCTTACCTGGGAGACATAGGGCATGAGGTTATTGGGGATGCCCTGGGGGTCCTCGCCAATGCAGCCCGAGGCGTGGGCGCCGATGGGGTTGAAATACCGCAGCAGCACTGCGTTCCAGGCCTGTGGGACACCAGTCAGATCTGGGTAGGGGTCCCAGCTGAATCTAGAGCCCTTTTACCAGAGCTCCCCACCCTCCCATGCCTGTTCTCTAAAGGAGCAGGGGATGGACACCCCCCGCCCACATATGCTGTGACCTTGTGCAAGTCACTGCCGCTTCCTGAGGCCTCGCCTCCTCCCCAGTGGGCTTACTCAGGATCCCATCCTCAGGCTCATGGGAGTGCTGTGAGGGGCCCATGAGCTGCACGAGGGCTGAGTCAGAGGGGGTCCTCACCTTATCTGCCTGGCACAGGTCCCGGATCATTTCTTCGATGAAGAACTTGGATTTGCCATAGGGGTTGGTACAGCCACCTGTGGGGTGGGCCTCGTCCAGGGGCAGGTACTGGGGGTTCCCATACACGGTGGCTGAGCTGCTGAACACCAAATTCTTCACCCCGTGGGCCTTCATGATCTGCCCGTGGAGGGGAGGTGTCAGTGGCCTCTGCCTCACACGTTTTCCCTGCCCCCCTATGCCTTCACAGTGGGGGCTGAGGTGTGGGCACCCCCACTACAGAAGGGGGATTGAGGCTGAGCGGTAAAGACCGTCCAAGATGACCCAGCCTGGGCCCTGCCTGACGAGGGGTTGTCCAGAGTCTGTGCTCCTTCCCCACATCTCACCTCCAGAAGCTGGATGGTTCCTGTCAGGTTAACTCTGTAATAATCCAGAGGCTTCTGCACTGATTCGCCCACAGCCTTAAGCCCAGCAAAGTGGATGACCGCCATAAAGCTGTGCTGCAGGGGTGGGAAGCTAGGGTCAGAGGTTGCTCACAGGCCTGGCCCTCGACAGTGCCTTCTACCTGCCTGCCAAGCGCTTACCTTCTTAAAGAGACACTGTAGGGCTGCCTGGTCCAAGATGTCCATCTCCTCAAACTCCACAGAGCGGCCCGTCAGCTCCTGAACCCGCCGCAGGCTCTCAGGCATGGAGCCCCCTCCTGGTTGGCACATGGAGGCCATCAAAATTGGAGGAGATAGAGTCCTCAGTTCCCAAGGGATTGGCTGGACTTATACCCCTTGGAGGTGGAGGCAGAACCTAGGATTTTCCTTCCATCCCCTAGTGGAGCCCCAGCCCCTCCAATGCTCACCACGAATGGCATTGTGGAAGTTGTCGATGACCACAGGCGAATAGCCCGCCTCCAGCAGCTCTAGCACTGTGTGGCTGCCGATGTAACCAGCCCCGCCTGTTACTAGCACCTTCTCTGCCATCTTGCCTGGCCCAGGACAGTTTCAGAGGTGGCCGAGGCTGCCCGCTCAGGGCCTCCTTTGAATTGGAGTCTGGCCTTCGAGGGAGGCAGTGGTGTGTCCTGGTTAACAGAGTGGGTCCGGAGTCAGCCCTGGTCCACATCTGGATACCATCATTTTCTGGCCTTAGGCCTTGGAGACCACTTATCCTTAATTTGGCCTTAATTTCCATCTCTATAAGATGGAGTTTATAATCGTACTAATATGTGGTAGTGTGAAGGTTAAATGTGATTTTAAAGGACTGCCATCTGGTGCAGGTGGGGTGACTGATGCACAGGTGCCATAATTTCTAGTCCTAATTGCCTGGGGGTTGGGAAGATGGAACCTGAAGCTCCACACTGCCTTCCCCAAGGTGCCTGGGGACTGGACAGTTCTGGACAGAAGGAAACAAGGCAGCAGCACTGGGACTCCAAGAGCCCAGGAAGAGGTTCTAACTGCTCAGACTCAGACCTTCCCAGTCTCTCTGCCATCACTAGGTATAAACTGGCTCCTTGACTTGGTGACTAATTCCTCCTGCTGCAAGCATCCTCCCGACAGCCTCTCCCATGAAGTTCAACTAAGAGAAAGCCAGAAATAAAGTAAATGTCCTCAGGGTGGGGTCCTTTGCCAGGAACGCTGAGCCCAGCTCTGAGGCGGCAGCACTGTGGTCCTGGAGTGGGCCCCAGCCCAGGTCAGCCAGGCTGGTTCAGTCTCTGCCAATGCCACTCCTGGCTTGGAGCTAAGAATCCCACCCAGCTCTAGGCGGCACTTTAGCAGGGTGGTGTAGACGTGGCCTTGGCCCCAGACTCCACTGCCAGGTGTGCACCACCGCCCTGAACAAACTGCGAGCAGAGAAGGGGGAGGGGGGAGGAAGCCCAGACACTGAGGCCTTTCATTCAGGGTGGCCTGGCCGGCAGCCGCCTTCCTCCAAATTGCCTCAGTCCTCTTCTGTGCATCCAGATAAGACCCACTAGACTGAACACCGCTGCTTGTCAGGCTCTGTAATGGGCACTTCTGCATTATTTTTCTGAAATCCCCCAGCATTCTGGTGAAGCAGGCTGTTATTACTGGCACTTTACCAAGAAGGATACTAAGGTCAAACAGGTGAAATAATTTGCCTGAAGTCAAACAGCTGGTGATGGCCGGGCTAAAATAATCTCGAGGCTCAAAGCCCCGCCCCTCACCCCAAGCAGTTCGCCCCCCGCCCCCACTGTTTCCCGCTGGACTCTGCTCCCGGCGCTGAAGCCGCCCCCGCCCCACTGAAGTCCACGCGCTGTGCCTGCCCCCGGAAAGCGGTGGTGAAGGGGCTCCGGGAGACAGGAAGGCTGGCGAGGCCGGCCTCCCTCCAACTGGCGAGATGACCTCGGTCGGCTGTCGCCTCCTCAGTTTTCCCAGTCCGTAAAATGGAGGGGAGGGGGCGCCGGGCCGTAAGCGCCAGAGTGCTCTGAGCCTTCGGCTGGGATTTGGGCCGTGGCTTCAAGGCGACCGAACTAGGAATGCCCCGGCCAGGAATGAATGAACCCCGGCAGCCCCAGTCAAAACAGGCAGAGCTGGGAGCAGCGGGGGCGGGCCCGCCCCGGCAGAACTCTGCCCAGAACGCGGCCCAGCCCCTTGAGAGACTCTCCCTCACTTCCCCCGGACCACCCGGCCCCTTTCGAGCCCGCCCGGCCGCCCCATTCGCCTCCCGAACCTGCTCGGAACCACGCGCCCCTCGCTGCCTCCAGCGGCTCCGCCTCCCGCGACTCGCGTCGGGGACCCTTTAAGAGCCGATGGTCCACCCTGGTCCCGCCTCTTCCACGCCCCTAAGAAACGTGTCAGTCGGGAGACCGCAGTACGGTGCACGCAGAGGACCGAGGGCATTGCGGCTTCAAGACGCCTGCGCGGCACCTCCCTCAGAGGGCGGTGCCGAGCCGTGCAGGGGAGGTCGCAGAGGATGGCGTAGCTGGACTGGGATGCAGGGAGCCTAGCGGCAGAGGTTCGTTCCTTGTTCGGCGCCCCGGGTCCCCGCTCCAGGCGCCAGCGCTCCTCCTGACCCTTGGAAGCAAGCGCTGCACCCTGTGAGATGGGGCTTGTCTACAGATTTTCCACATTTTTTTATATCAGCTAAACCCTTCCTTCAGAGGAAGCCGGCATGAAATAAACCAC